AGGAGCACAGCAACATGGTCTAACAATATGGTGTAAGACATGGTTTGATGCTACCCTGGTTTAAGGATTTAATATATGTAACCGAGAAGTTACAATTCATAGAACCAACCTTTCGACACTCCTGTCTAATGCCCTCATTAGGGGTGATCTAATCGCTGCAACAACGAAGAGGACCTTTTATATGCTCACTGGTAGCGTCGATTAGTGGTGAAAATTGATAAATCACTACTAATCGACATTACCAATAGCGCCTTTATTTGGAAGCCTGTCCGCGCTCCCTTAAATCGCGATGATGGCGGCTTACTACCTGATGCCTATTTGACCTCGTCCGAAAAAAGGACAACTAATTAGTGAGAATATAAAAGGACCTCTTCTTGCAGCGATTAGATCACCCCTGAAGAAGGCACTAGACATGAGTGTCGAATTGTTGGGTCTATGAATTGTAAGTTCTCGATCACAGTCATTAAATCTTTCACCAAAGTAGGATCATCCCATGTCTTATTGTCCGCCTGGTTGCCTTGTGAACTTTAATATGGTGAAAGATTGCCCATTGTGAAGCTCGATTGGGTTCAACAGTTTCGTTACCATTGATATTGACACCTGTCATATAGATACATTACCAAGTTAAAAACTTAGCTCGAAGTTGTTTCGTGAAGTTGTTCACCTCTAAGTAAGCTTTTTTCGCTAAAAAAGATAGCCTTGGTATATACCTTTGGATATAATTTCGAATTTTGTTCGAAAAACGACAACAACAGCAACAACGACCATGGTGAACCTATTAGGTACATACATTATATCTATTTAACCGACATAATATGTTTTTACCGATTATTTATCGAAGTGGATATCTACTAAGCTGTCAAGCAGCAAGGTCAATATCCACAATTTTCACTTACATCAAGACTATTGAATAATTGTTGTAGTATATACCACAAACGTAGAAACCATAGAATCAATGTAGTTTTTTTCAATATACCGAAAAATGATCGCAAATTAAACCCTTGACGCGTGATTCGTCTCTTCAGCTGCTCGAAGAAGAAGTTAATCACCTCCGAATTAACCCATGCGCAAAAAGCACATCTCAAAGAAGTGGTATATGTATTAACGATCAATATTTACATGGGATGCCGTGTGAACTGTAATGCAACCTCGCGATTAATTACCAATTTGCTTTTCTCAAAGGGAACTCAAATTCAAAAACTTGAAAACCTGGAATGGGAATATTTCCCGTGAGCTACCTTCTCTCGAAGCAATTTTATTGGTGACTGAGAATACCTTTGTTCCTCCTTCACACGTTCTCAAAGCTTCAAGCCTTCAGCGCATCTCTGGTGTTACTTGGAGCAGTGCTTGCAACAACAAGACACTTATAAAGAACCAAACTCACTCAAACGTGACGCTTTTCAAGAAAGGGGTGTATGACATTTACCCAAAGTCACGCTGTCGGGGTTCACGCTACCTTGTCGAATCAATATCTCGCTTATTTGCTAAGTATGGATTTGTAATTGCTTTCGATGAAAAATGCTTCACCTCTGAAGTGACAGTCATCCCAATGCATCGATGCTGGGACAGTGCCAATGAAGCTCTATATATTGAATACCTGTTAACTCCATTAATAATAATCTTCAACTTGACAGTGTTTTTTACAATGGCTACCACAAAAACACTCAGAAAACTACCTTGTATGTTATTTGTTGCAAATTTGGCCTTAAGCGATTTTTTCCTAGGAGTGTACACCCTTGCTATCACGTCATCACGTCACGCTATGACTTATCAAGCCTTCGTTGGCGTGATGAGCTCTTTGTGTCCAGCTATTGGTTTTGTGTGGGTTGTCGGGCAATTTGCCGCAGCTCTTTCTTCATTGCTGTTGACTACTGAACGATACATAGCAATTATCTTCTCCATGAGACCAAGTATCTCTGTCACAGCAATAGCATGCCTCTATTGCATGGCTGCCTCGTGGGCAATAGCTGTATTTATGGCATCCCTTCCATTCTTCGGTGTGGGAACATACACTACGACTACCTTCTGCCTTCCGATCCAGCCTGCGAAGGGAATCCCTCATTCGTTTGCGTACAGCGCCAGTGTCGTCGCAATTGGAGTTTTGTTGTACATCATCACTATTCCCATGTATCTCCATATTTTTGTCCATGTGAGGAACTCAGGAAATCAAATGGGTATAAAGCGAGATGGAAAACTGGCCAAAAAGATTTCAATCTTGGTCACAAGCAATTTGATGTTTTTTCTTGTTCCTGTGTTTATAGGAGTATTATGGTTGATGACTCAAACTTTCAGCAAAGTTTCTTTAACGACCAGAGAGATTTTGGTCGGTTCATTAACAACTGTTTGTTTTAGCATCAACTCCTTTTTAAATCCTCTTCTT